TATAATATGTGTATAATATATTAAAATATTAACACACATATTTTATTTTATATTATTTAAAATTATAATTGTAGAGTTCGCTTAACAATCAGGTAGCCTGCAACAAGCAGTTTATCAAAGATTACTACCCATGCAAGAAAATACTAATTATTGTAATATTAGATCAGTTAGAATTAAGCAAAAATAAGCAGCTGCAAGTATAAATAATAAATTATTTTATTTTAAAGATATTTTTTTAATAGAATTTAATTAAAGTTAAAGGTCATTTGTTCAAATCAAATTCTTGACAAATGAGAAGTTCAATAATTTGTTATATTTATGATTTTTATAGTGCATAGAAATTTATTAAATTTTCCGTTCCTATTGCATAAAATTACGGTCACTGATTTGAATATATTTTATTTAGGTATACATATTTGTAACATTAAACAGCAATTATATATTATAATAAAGAATAAACATAATAGATACGACGTATTATTAAAAATAGTAAATTTTATATAAAAATTGAATATATATTTATTAAGTTATTAATCAAGAACAAAATTAAACGGTAAATAAATGAAGTAAATCTTAATTATAAATAAATTAACCAAGTTATTTTTTAGTAAACCTATCGAGAACAACGAATAAAAACTTAATATAATGAATACAAGTGATAAATAAAATTTATGCAGATGTAAAATCTGTATAAATTTTATACAAATATGTATTTTATATATGTATATGTTAAGTAATCATGAATATTAAGTAAAATAGCACATTAAGAATATTTTGAAATACAATGAAGCATTAATAAATATAAAATTAGTGAAATAAAAGATAAAGTAAAGTGATAATTAATATTTACATTAAATAATTTTATGTGATTGAAAAATAATAATGCAGAAGAAAAATGCACTATTTGCTATTTGCTACAATATTACTTAGATAACGTTAAGTAATCAGTAAATTTAAAAAGCTGTTAAAGAATAACATTAGCCTTTTCATCACCAAAAATTTAATGAAATTAAAAATATTTAATAAAGGATACTATCTTAATAAAAAAAAAAAGGAAGCAATTGGTTGCATTTGCATTCAATTCTACATTATTAATAATTATAGTAGAAAAAGATAAAAAAAAAGAACTGCTTTATTTTAAAACAGATCTTGTATACACCTAACTTACCCTGAAAATTCATGATCGGAACCTTCATCGGCTTCATCTGCATCTTCTTCCTCTGTAAAATAAATAATATCGTATACATAATTAATATATATATATTATCAACATATTTTAAGTACATATATATAACAGACATTTGTAAAATATAAAATGTTAACTGACCAGCTAAATGATCCTTTTTACGTCGTGTATATGCCCGTTTACTTGTTACTGGAACTTGATCAGTTTCTCCATGCAAAAGACTATTCCTATATAAAAGTAATGGTTGCCAATCTTCTCCTCGTGAAGAAGGCATACCAGCTTGTAATCTTTTATCTAAGAAATCTAATCTGAAATAGACATAATATTTATATATGAATAAATGAAAATAAAAATATATTTTCTATTATCTTTCACAAATAATACTTACACAACGCGTTTATCCTGTTTTAACAATTTATTAGTAAATTCTGACAAAATTTCCAAAAAGGATAGATTGGGTGGTGGACCAGTTGGATCTTGCTCGATACCATCGGGAGGAGTAATAGCAAATAAAACTCCTGCTCTGTGCAAAGCAGTAATTGCTTCGCGATTTTTTACGGCATCCAAACCAAATGATAATGCAAATCGTTTGGCCAATTCCTAAAAGTATTGAATATAATTTAAATATTATACTGCGTAAAAAAAATAAAAAAATTTGTTTTATTTATTACATTTCTTCAAAATATTATAAAACAAACCTTAATTGCAATGAACTCCTCGCTATTTCTGTTAACCTTGCCCTTCTCCATAACAATCTCATTATATAAAATATTTAAACTATGTTGCATTGTTAAAGCACAATTCGTCTTATTAATATCTCGAGCTTTACCTAAGGTAGTTTTTATTATATCACCATAATCATTATAATATTTTACATAATGTTTAAATACATCAGCTGCTGCTTTTGTTGGAATCATATTATAGACAATAAGTTTGCAATAGCTAGCTAGGAAATTTCGTCGTTTATGTAACTCTTCAATTTTTGAGTGCTCATCGTGTTCATCTATGTTAACATAACAAATATTATTTTTTATATTGTACAAAATCTATTCTTTAATAATATAAATAAATAGTTACCATCTTCTTCTTCGCAAAAAACATATTCTTGTATAAATCGATTAAGCATATTTTGCATTGCTTGGTCAGGCTCATATACTAATTGAGACATTAATACATTAGGGTGACTAGCTAATTGATTACAAAATACTACTAGTAAATCACATATTGTATTATATGCTTCCTCTCTTAAAATTGGTGGTGTTCGCTGTAACAATATTAAATTATTATATATATACTCTAAAATTATTTTAGTATATCAATATTATATATATGTTTATAGAGTTTAATAAAATAATAATTACCACTGTGCTATTATCACTACTAACAAAATAACGCATAGAAGCCATAAATGAATGTAGACGCTGCTTCAATTGACGACATTCGTCTTCTCCACGACTTCCTGAATCTGTAGCTTCCATCAAATGATGCTGACCCCATAAGATGGCGAAAAAACATGCACTTATACAATATTTCACAGCCTCATGAGGTAAACACCTGAAAAATGTTATAGATTTTTATAAAAACCGAACATTATCTATTAATTACATGTAATAAAAAAATAAAATAAAAATAATACTTTGAAGGATCTTTTGCATCTTTAATGTCTTTATATAAAGAATCCCATATTCCCCAAGGGTTCATGTTATGGGATGAATAAAATATAGATACTTTTTTTAATGATTGAACAACATTAAAGATTTCATCTTCATCTGGTTCTTCATCTCCTTCTATTAAATTTCTATATTCATCTATTGCCTCTTTATACTTATTTACAATAAAATCAATTAAAGTTGAACGTGCAACGTCGCATCTGTAAAATTTAATTGTCTAAATGTTACAATGTTATTTTGTTTTATTAATCATAAAATTAATCGTTAAGTGTGTACCTTGTGAAGATTGCATGACCATCGACACACATATTTTCTAAAGTTTTAGATGCAGTATCGAGAACTTCAGTATCATGTATTTTTTCAACAATAGTATGAATTTTCGTTAATAAAGAGTCTAAATTTTGTTCTTGACGTGATTTAGTATAAATATCTAAATCGAAATATTGTGGTATAGCAAGGAGATTAGCCAATTTTTCTGGATCTGCTCGATATTTGTCGAGCAAATGTGGCAATGTTTGAATAAAGTGTTCTGTTAACCGTTGCTTATCATCATGTACCTGCTTCAATTCTTTAACAGATAAAATCTTGCGCGTTGGACCACGTCCAACAGGTGCTTCTCCTATTTTAATAAAAATAATTATTACTCGTTGTACATTACAATAAATTTATATAAATATTAGAAAAGAGATTAATTATATAATTATAACCAACCTGTTGCTGCTTGTTTTATACAACAAACCATTAGTTCAATAAGGGATGTTTCTTTCTGATTATCTAATGCTTCTTCCTCAGGACCAGCTTCTTCTAATAACAAATCCGTCATACACTCCCAATCTTTCATCATTTGATTAGTTTCAATTAAAGAATCAACTAGATATGCTCCATGTTCATGAAGTTCAGATTCGATAAAAAATAATACAAGATCACGTATCAAAGGAGTGTTGGGTAAACGTTTTTTGCCACGCTTAGTTTTAACTCCAGCAATGGCTTCGTCATCTGGTCGGAACAGACGTTCATTTAAAAATTCTCCCGCTGCTTGTGCGACAGCTCGATGAGACGAATAAACAAGTTCATAAACATGTTCACAATCTTTATCAGTAAGAATTTCTCTATGGTGCTTTAAAATTGATATAACTAGTTTAACAGCTTGTACTGCTACATCATATTCCTTGTCCAACGTCATTGCAACAATTCTATCTTTGAATTTACTAGTAAATAATTCAAGTTTTGTTTTTAACTCTTCAGAAGCATATAAAGGTTGCAATGCTTGAAGACATTTTAATCTAACTTCTCCAACTTTATCGTGCAACGTCCAACCTAGAAAAATTAAACATTAAGATTAAATACATCTTAAAATATTATCGAATTCAATTTTATTTTTACCAACCGATGTATTTTAAGTATGAATCATCCAAAAAATTTTGATGAAATTTTTTCATCCAAACTCCTATTTCTGCCATACAAATTGCTCGTATTTCTGGTAACGTGTCTCTATATCTATGTACAAATACAGACTTAAACATATATGTAAGCATATTTTTTATCTCATCCATGTTCTCTTCCAATTCTTTTCGTTTAGCTAATAAAGATTCTAGTCTGTCAGCTGCTCTTTTTTCTCTTGCTTTCTGTCTCTCTGCTTCATATTGTCGCTGGGTATTATCCAAATTTATTGAGACCGTTAAAGCAACATCTACTAGAGCAGTCATCAATTTCATTGCTAAAATTATAATTCAAATAAGTATTATACATAAATTTATATGATATTGGAAATGATTAGCTTATACATATAATAATAATAAATGTTTAGGAACTACTAACCAGCAAGCGTAGCTGTATGCCTAAATGCTCTTACTTGAGAATCAGATAAACCTGTTAATAATGAAATGACATTGTCCATCAAAAATTGATCATAAATTATAGAATATTGACATTGTCGAACCAATATTTGTACAAATTCGCAGAAGTTTGCACGAAATTTTTTCCATTGTTGTCCAGTCATAATTAATGGATACTCTCCACTTTCCTATAATAAATTATATATATATATATATAGATTAATAATCATTAGATAAAGAGTAATAAATAAAAAGATATAAAAAAAGATATATACTTCATCAAACTCTTCGGTCATTTTACGTATTATTGCTACATGCTCCATGGTTGCTTGCATTTCTGACGTAATGCGTCCTTTACAACCGCTTGCATTAATAAAAAATTGCATTAACATAAGAAGCGCGTTTTCCCTGTTACTTTTATATTTTTCTATCCAATCATCAACAATAGCCTATCAAGAAAATATTCATATAAACAAGTATTGCACATATATTGTCCTTTCATTTATAAATAACTAGTTAATAACATACAGTAAGAGAGGAACGATTATTCCTAATAACATAATAAAGACTAGCTTCATCTTCTAAACTATGAGAATGATGCAAACGTCTTCCACGACCACGACCACCTCCTCTACCTCTACTAGTTGTCGTTGGAATAAAATCTGTATCAATTTCTTTGTATTTTGGTTGTTGTATAGAATTTCCTTCAAATATAAAGTAAAGTTTAATTCAATTTTATGTCTCGATTATGACTAATTTTATTGATAATTACAAACACACCTCGTAATCTAGCTCGTGTATTCCGAGTGATTCTCATATTAGCCGGTGTTGCAGGTGTCATAGGTTGTTCGAACTGTACTTGATTATCAAAATTGTTAGATTGTTCTTGGTATTGCTGTTGCGATGTGCCTGGAGAACTATAGCTTTCAGAAGAATAATGTTCGGGTCTAAAAGAACATGATACATATAAAAGAACAATATTGTTGTGAGAGCGTTATTAAAAATGTAGATTATGTAAACAATTATAAATATATATTTACGTAGGATTATGGACGGGGGTTTGAGGCACATTATTATATGATGTATAAGAAGAATATGATTCATTTGCATCAGCAGTATTATCATTTGATGGAGTCATAGGTGTCATAGGTGTATCATATTCTGGAGGTACCGGATCATCCATACGTATTCTTTTACCACCTCTTCTATGCATCATTATGATAGTTTTTGTATCTTTTTATACAGAATCTTAAACATTATTATACAAGATATAGACGATATATGTATAATTAATATATAAAACAAATTTGTTAATTGATACGCATATAAATTATTTTACGAAACATGACAAAATGTTAATTACAATTGATAATTATAAACATTATTTTGTAAACCTGAATGAAGTCCCAGGATAATCCAAAAATTAAACAATGTCACAAACGTTCGATATTTCTTCAACTGTCTAGGAAATTCATGTAAATGCTGTTATCTTTATAAAATAACCTTAGTATATTTTACACATAATAATTTTCAAATGTTATTATAAACTATATATAAATGTATATAAATAAAAATCATATTTAATATGATATATACATATTTTGATATTCAACTCTACGACTCAATAAAACCAAACTACTGAAACGCGTGCAAGCAATGTTAATCCCTAGATAGAAAAATAGTTATCTATTCTGATTGGTCAATTGTAAACTTCACCAAAAAGAGCTAAGCGCGCGAATTTTTGGAATAATTCAAAATACAATAATCTTCAATAAACCGTAAAGTAGAAATTAATTCATATAAAACGACAAAATGGTTTGTGGTTTATTTTATCATGTTAAATAATAAATTAAATGTTTACTTTACCAGATGAAAATATTTAGATAAAAAGTTTCGTATACGTTTCTACTAGTTTCTATTTTTACACATTACTTACTTAAAAATAATAGATAATACATACTATAAATATTAAATATATACATTACAAATCTAAATTAATTAATTTCAAATTCATCTCAAAATCTAAATAGGTGAAGATATTATGTTTCTTTCTTTATAAATAATTCATTGTTTTTATATAGACATTTTATATTCGTCAATACACATTATGGATTATGCACATTTACATAGTTAGAAATTATATAAATATATACATATACACCCAATTTTGTTTTTACACGAACTTTTTTTACACAATTTTGATTTAACATAATCGACTCAAATTCTAAGAAGAAACTTTTGAAAACTCATGGTTTATTGGATTATTTTTGTTGATTTCATAGTATTGGAATCAATCTTGTATTTGTCGATAGATGCGATATATTTTTTTACACGAATTTTTTTAAACGTATTCTTCGGACATGTATTTATCATATAAAAACAGAATTAAGTGTATAACTATCTCTTGAAAATAGTCTTTTAGCGTATTGTAATATAACAATAGGCAAATGATTTCCTTGAGCGTGGTCTTAATGAATTTTCAACATTATCTATTAGTATTAACTATTAATTCCTAACACCTGGTACTCTATATAAAAATTCTCCATCATCATCGTAATAACAATCAGAAATTCTATAAGTTTTGCCTTTTTGGTATAACTTTGTTGGAATTTGTATTGGCTGTGAATATGTTTCACATTCAGATATTTTTGTATTCCGTTCCTTTATATAAGTGTCTAATTTGGCATCAATTTTGTCTGTAGAAACAAGCTGTGGACGTTCACTTTTGTCTAAAGAAATCAATACCTCTTCTTTATTTGATGTTTCTAAATTTAAAGAATTGAATTCTTTTTTTTCTTTATTTGATATTTCTAAATTTAAAGAATTTAATTCTTCTTTTTCTTCATTTGATGTTTCTAAATTTAAAGAATTTAATTCTTCTTTTTCTTTATTTGATGTTTCTAAATTCCAAGAATTCAAATTTTCTTTTTTTACTTTTATTTCATCTTCTTTTTCTTCTTCTTTTAATGGTTGTACATGTTTTGATTGTATAATAGCGTCTTCAATATCAGAAGATGTATTATCAACTTTGTTAAGGTATTTTTGATATGCATGTATTAATGTAATAGCTTCTTCCGGCCTTTCTACATAAATTCTTGTAAGTTCCTTCTTTGCAAACTCATTGAAAGTAATTTTTGGTTGAGTTGAATTTGGTTTGCGTTTGATTAATGCTGTATTATTTTTATGCAATATTTCTTTTTCCATTAAATTTCTTTTGTCGAGCAAATTTTTTGTAATGATATTATTACTAGTATCTTTCAAAAGTTTTGTATCTACCATTGTCTCTTTACCACTTGGCAATACTTTGTTATCGTCTTGATTATTTGTTTCCTGATCTAAATAACTTTGCACGATATTTGAAAAAAAAGTACTTTTTGGTTTTGGAAGTTCAGTTTTCGGTGGTACTAATTTCTCTGCTAAGAGATGTCTGTCGGGTAACATTATTGTTCTATTTTGAAATTTTGCTAAATGTTCTCGCAAAACAGAACTAACAGGTAACTTTCCTGCTCGAAATAGTTTCCAATTATCAACAACAGTGGCATCATATTGCAAGACTCGTTCAACTGATCTGTAAGACCACTTAGATTTTAAAATTTTGTTAATTGTTTCCGGTAAAGCTGGAAAACTTTTGCTTAACACTTCTGCTGTCCATTCTTCTGGGTCGCTTTCATGTAGCTTCCTTATTTGATCTTTTTCAATGCTAGTAAGGAAATTAGGATCCTTGTCTTTTTTAAAATATTTTGACGCAACAATTCGTTTCTTGAGTAATTGTATAGATTTTATTTTTTCCCTAAAAATAATTTTGATGTTATTATGCAATAAAAATAGATTTATATATACTCTTTATATATAATATATAATAATTTAATATAATTAAGAAAATAGATATAAAACAATTTACTGTTCATAATCTTCATGAAACTTGTCAGCGTGCATGAATTCTGCTTCAAATTCATCTAAATCATGACTATCTAATTCTTCGAGGTTAGGTTCTTCGTATCCAGAACTTTTTAATATTTTTAATTTACTTTTAATGCCAGCATTTTTTCTACTAATTGCTCTGCATGGTATATATGTTATTGTCCTGAGTATATTCATTATGTTTAATATTTTTACTCAATTATGTACATATATTTTATTTAAATATAGATATATTCAATTATTACGATGTAAACAACTTCCATGCGTTCTGATCTTTTCCATGCGAAACAGTACTTTGTGTTTAATAATTAAATAGGTTAGGACGAGTATATCTTCGAGTTATAATTAAAACTATTACATAGAACATTAAGTCATTTATTTAAAAATCTTTTAAAGGAAAACGTGACTGCAATTATCATAATTTTGTTAATATCATTTAAATTCACAACTTACTAAATATACCAAAAAAAGTCAAAGAGAAAATACATTTTTAATTAAATAGAAGGGTTAATCGTGTAAAAACATTATTTAATTGATCAATGCAAGATACAAGACAATAAAGATGCACAGCATATATATACATGTTTCCTTATAAAAGAGGACAATTACATATTTTAATAGTTATCTGTTATAAGTATAAGAATACTCTATTGCTTTTTTTTTTTTACATGATCTTCTTTGACTATTTCACTATAATTTTTAAGGTACACGTAGATGAAAAGTAATTTTAATGTATAAATATTTCACTTAAAAGCATTTAAATATCAATTGTAATAAAAGTTTTTTTTAAAATACTACATTTATTTTTAAGTTTATTTACCCTAATCGACAAGGGTAAAAAAAATTAAATTTTAAAAATAAGAAATACTTGATTCATAGATTAGAAATATATATAAAATAATTTCCAGTTTAAAAATATTATTATAAACATTTCAAAAAGCACCTTAGTTTATGGTTACATAATGATTATAAAATACTTAATGTGATTTTTTGATTTATACCAAGCTTGTTGATTTAACGATAATATAGTACTATATATATAAATATAGTAAATGTTTACTATTAATCCTTTTTTTCGGTAAGAACTGCACCTACTGTAGTTTTTATCGCTGAAATCATATTATATAATTAAATAAACAAACGTTATTCAATATTTTAATTTTGATATCAAATAATTACCAGTGTCACGAGCGTTGGATAAAAATTTGTCCACAGAGGTATGATATTGCAAAAATTTTGGGCGTACTAAACGTCGATAAACAACCAAGGAACCATTGTATTCTGTTGGAGCCATCAACCATACGTAAAAGAAACACTACAAGGAACAACAATTGAAAATATTTTCATTTTATTTAAAAACAGATAGAAAATGTATATATATATATATATAATTGAATATTTTTTAACCTTTAATAGCCAGTAAAAAGGGAGCCATTGAACAATAAATTCAGAAAAAAATTCAATGATGGTAAAGAGTGCAAATACAACCCAATAAGTTAGCCATTTTGTATCATCATCCTTTTTGGGGCTTTCCAAAGCTTTCATTGAACAATATGCAGGATAAATAAAACCAATAATATTACATACTAATTGTTGTCCAGCTCCAATTAGCAAATATAATGCCAGGACAAATATAAGTTCTAAAAAATAAATGAATATTAATTACATAAATATTTGATGATTATTTTGCATATACATACACGTATATATACATATAAGATTAATTTATTATATATACTTTATTAGTTTTATTTATATAGCCTTCCTTAAAAATATATATACGTGAATATAAAAATAAATTCAGGTAGCAATGCGTTATATATACGTAGTATGGTTAATCAATAAGTTCAGACAATCTTCTCTTTTAAATTATCTTTCAGTATAATAGATGTATCTATTACAATTTAAAATTAGGTATAAAACGAGAAAAAAATTAATACTATTTATGCTTCTTTTAAATAATAATATAATTTAGTTTTATGTATTTTGTAATTTTAAATTGATGTATGAATTGTATCTTATTATTACATAAAATATACGCGATTAAGAAAAAATTGTTTTAAAAAGTTAATTAAAAGGATAATTAATGGAACTATTATGTGGGTATTACATACGAATAAATAGATACAATCGATTGATTCCAGTTTTTTCTTCAGCAAATGTAAAAAACTTTGTCCATGGTTTGCTTTCATCTTTTAACGCTTTTTCTAAAGATTCCTTTATAACTTCTATCCTTGACATTTTTAATTTGATAATAAAACAAATTGTTAAACTTTACTTAAACAGCTGTAATTTGACCGTTGTCACAACTCGATAAATCTTGGTAAATTATTCAAAACAGTGCTTCCAATATAAAAACTGAAAATTTCCTACTAGTTATTTTGAAAATGTTTCCTATTAATCCCCAGAAATTTTGAAAAAATTTTTTTTTATTATATTTATACATTATCATTATAATTATATATAATATTAATATTAATTATTTATTTATATGATTTTCTTTATAAATTATTAATTGATTTTTTTTTTTTATAATTTTTACATTTCTTTCAAATAGATATTAATTACAATAATTTCTATACATTTAGGTAAAAACAATTTTTTTTGCCGTTTTTCTACATTTTATTTTGAGAGAAAATACAAAAATGGTATTCTTTTTAAAAGAGACATGCACTGCAATGTCATTTTTGATATAAAAATTTCATTAACTTAAACGTATTCGTTAAAATTATATAGAATATTAATAATGAAAATATTTAATTATATATAATGTTATAGAAATACTAATGTTTTTATTGAGTAATTTTACAAAATACACGTATATATATACATGTGTTAAGTTTTTCATTTACTAATAATAATAATAATACAAACTTTAAAATGGGAATATATTACTGATCGTTTAAGGATTCTCTATATTCTTTATGAGAATATATAAAAACTTGTATTATAAACAAATCATTAGAAATAAATCTCTTTTACAAACTTAAATTTATTTATTCTTTCAATATCTATCATATTGTTGAATATGAAAACTATACACCATAAAAATAAATTGTTTATAAAATCTAGACAAAATGGAAAGGATTTAGAAATTTCTTTTCAGTAAAATGCTTTTTAAAGTAAAATAGCTAGATAATAATGCTATCAATAATAATGATCTGTCAATTATTATAATCACTAACAAAGAAACATGTATAGCATTGTTATAAACATTATTCTTATGAAATATTTATAGTAACATTCACATTTAATCTGTAAATTATTGTGCAATATCTTTTACTTGATCTTTTATGAAAATTCATTTTCTTTTTATTTTTTTTAAGTGTACATTGTACACGTTATATCATACTGAATGAATAATGTATTATTTCCTTTTTAGTATCAGATATGTACACAGTTTAAGCGGTTTGTATGATTTTATTTTGTGGTCCTTTTTGCGTTGAATTAATTTTATCACCCAATGAAAGAGCCATACCTTGACTTTTAGCCCTAATGCGAATATGACCTAATACTGGAGCATCTGATTTATTTAATGGTTTTTCTATTGACAAATTAGCTAATGCATCTTCACCAAAGATAGATTTAGCATACATATTAGCAGCCATGAAGCCACATTGTCCGGAAAGAGCCTATTTATTAGAATTAAATTATTAATTTTTACATAGGGACTTAATGATATAATAATCCATACAAAAAAAGAGCAAATATTTAAATACATAAAAAAAATACCTTTTCAGGAGTAAGACAACGCATATTTGTAGATTTTAATAAGTGAGCTAAATATTCTCTTAAATCCGAAAGACTTGTATTCACAGAGACTTTATTTTCCCATTCAAATTCTGCCCACATTTGTCGAAATTCAGCATCAGTACATGTTGCTGGTACGATATAATCCATTATATCAATATGAATATCATTCAAAACAACAACGCTTCTATCAGATCCAGCTCCGGATACATCGTAAACTATATTAACATTAATATACAATATTTATTCTATTCTCTCTACAATTGTTGAATTATAGTACATAGGATTATAAAGCTTACCTATATTACCAAATATTATTCCATTTTCAGTAGATGCCACTTTAACATTCGCTTTGATACTTGCAAAATCTCTTGGAGCTAAGACAATAGGTTGTGGTCGTTCAACCAATTTTAAATCTCCCATTGTCGCTAATTCTAAAGTACAATTTTGTAGGGTATCCTCTGTTTGATTAACAATCAATACATCAAGCACAATATCATATTGATTAACGTGTACAAGTGCTTCCGCATATACTGGATCTGAAAATCCTGTAAGTTGTGTAACTTTACTTAAAGCATTTGGAGATGGTGTATCTCCCATTGCTCCAGGTCTTCCAGCAACAGCTACAGTGAGACTCTGTTCGAAAACATCTCCAGCACCACCAGTCAAGTCGGAGCCACGATTAAGTTGTAAAAATTGAATAGCATCGTCTACTTGTACAGTATTTCCTGGTTTTTCTTTCGCCTGAATATTTAAAATCATTTAACAAAAATAAATCTTGTTGATATATTCAATATAATATATAATATTACTAGCTATTAACTTATTAATAATTAAATATAACCTTCTGATTTTGAGAATCCTCTTCTGCTTTAGCTGTTAACATTCTACCTAGAGCTTCACGGCATCCATTAGTAAATACTTTTTGCAATAATGGAGTTGGAGAGGCAAGAGACCTTAAACATAAGGAGATTCTTTCCGCGTCATCATGAGTCATTGCCTTTGTAGGAAGTCCAGATCTACCCAATTGTAATACACTGGACATAACAAGCATTGCTTCTGCTTGTAGTTTATTACTTTTCTGAAGATTATTTTCAAGACTTTTGTAACGCAAAGCTAATTTAGCTATGGTTGTAGCTAAAGATGCACCAATGAAGAAATCACCGTCCATCATGTATTGTACCAGAGGAGGACGCTTTTCTTCTTTCCTTCCTATTTATAAAAAAAATTAAGTATATATTTAATAGTATACAATAATAATAATATTTTTATTATACAAAAAGCATAAATTAAATAGAATACCTTCTGTTGTGGTGCTAAATGCACTCTGAGTTGCGTATGTTCCATCTGATGTAACTAACTGTGCAGGTGCTGCTTGCTCGTTGTCATCTTCACTTGATTTTTCTCCTGCTTGTCTTTTATTTTCTGCTTCAAGTAATGGTAATTCTCCTAAAGCAGCACGTATACGATTCATCACTGCTTCTATATCTTCTTTTGATATTGCATATTCGCCAAGTATCCACAAAGCAGCTCTGTGAACTTTGACTGATCGAATATGCGGGAAAACCTATATTGTAAGCATAATAATAATCATTCTGATTAGAATATACATTATTTAATATAGTAATATTTAATTTTGTAATATTTTACCTCCAAAAGCTTCTCAACAATGAGTGGTCTAAGATTTTCAAATCTTTGAATAGCTTCACGGACAAAAACTAAAACATCTGTGGCAGCAGCTTCATTGTTTTCTGACAAGAAGTCTGTTAGTACTGGTATGACCGTGGCTGCAACATCTGAGAATTTAATTGAACAAGCATGTAAAGTTCTAACAAGCAATTGCCGATATCTTCCAGCATCTTCATGTTCACCACCAGCGGTTCTAAGAACTTCTTTTTTTAAAAGTTGAACCATTTCCTCAACTGTACGATTTGTTACTAAATCCATTGCTAAAGCAAGTGTTTTTGTTCTTACTTCTAATGCAGGTGAACCTATAACATATAAATAACAAAAATATTAACAGGATAATATAATTTAATTTAATTCATATACCGTATATTTCTTAATGTATTGAAAAAAATATTATAGAAAATATACCTAAGACTCTAAGTACATCCATAACAAGATCTTGAAGAACTCTTTCATAGACGGGGCTATCTTTCATGGCAATTAAACGATCGAGTACAATAAGTTTTACATTGTTGTCACTTTCTTTAACAACTAATTCAATATAGCAAGAAGCTGCTGCCTTAATAGCCGTGGGTACGTTTGAGAGAGTTATTAATGTACCAGCTGCTTCATAGCGTACAGCAGCACTGGGTGAATTTAATAAACTGTAAATACATCTAATAAAGCGTGCCCTTTCAGTTGGATTTGCTAAGCAAACCTAAAATGAATATATTTCAATAATTATCTTGATGATTAATAAAAAATTTCTATTAATAATACATACATACTTTATATATTAATTCCACAATAACTAATTGTAAAATATCACCAAAACTAGGCACTTGGTCTAAACACGCAGCTAAATAAGCTAGTGCTTTACTCTGATCTGCATGCAATAACATCAAGAATGCATTTCTTCTACATGACATATCTTGTTCGCCATCTAAATATTTAGCTATTAGATCTGGTGCATCTGGTATTAGAAATTCAAAATTCCTATATATAGTAAAAATGGCTAATACTGCATTACGCCTGACATAAGAATGTCTATGTTCCAAACAAGCTATTATTGATGGCATCAGAGGTTCCAAAAGCTCTGGTTCTTTTAATTTGCATAAAAATCTAAAAGAGATCAATAGATAAAGAAGATTTTTAATATATGTTATCTAATAATTCTTGTAGATATTATCCTTTTATTATTAAATAAATTTATACCTCAAAGTTGATCCTCTTACAAATTCATTCGGATGCTGCAAATCTTTTCTATAAGCGTCACATACCAAAATCATTTCTTGAAGTAGTTTCCCATCAGGAGAAGTTTTTGGTACAATCTCCCAAAATATGAGAAGAAGTTTTTTAATTGTATGATCTTGCAATGGTAAAACAAATCTAATAATTGTCATAAGTAAGCCTGGTAAACGTTCACCGCTTAAGATCATATAAATAGTTTTCTTCAATGCTTCAATTTTAATATGAACACTGCCTTTCTCAAGATCCTGTTTCAATTGCAACTCATTCAAAGGTTCTGTATCCGTTGGCATGTTAATTAACGTGTAACATGGTTGCTCCACTAAAGTACTCATCTTGTCTTTAGTGATCAATTAAGCGTTCTGAAAATATATATTTGACTTTATTGAGAAATTAATACAATATCATTGGAATAGAAATTTTATTCGAGAAAATCTAATGATAGATATGTATATATATAAAATAAGGTTAATTTTTTTATCAAACTACATAACAGCTTTAACTCGATACGATGTCAATATATTCGAATTATATTATATTTACCTAAAGTTGAAATAATCTTGTAAAAATACACCGTTAATAATATATATCAAAGATAATTATCATTTATAAGGGATTCATTTTATACGACATTTCTAAGCAGAAAAGGAGGAAACCGCATACGTGTCAAATTCTGATGCCACTGAAATAAAAGATGGCGCCAGTAGTAGAAAATCTTCGACATATCTTATGGATACTTATATTCTACATACAATGTTAGTAAGTAATAAACGTACTGGTATATTGTAATATTAAATTTAGAATATTATCAGCAGTATTGTTAATTCCTTATTTTTAATACAAATATAAGATTATATTAAATTTATATATGTAGACAAGATATGTACAAATATGCCGCGAAATTTTAAAGATATGTGTTACTGATTAAAACAAATATAAAAATTTCAAGAATTAAAAATATAATTTTAATATATATATATTAATATTATAATTAAT